AATGGAAACTTAAATGAGTGATTTCAGATCTTCTTTTGTGCTATCTGCATTCAGTGTTATAAGATTCCCTATAAGCATTTCTTTTATTGCATCCCACAAATTATAATAAGCTGTGTTTTCATTTTCATTTATTTCACAACATTTTTTCACTTATCTTGAGATTTCTTCTTTGACCCATGATATTTACAAGTGTGTTGTTTAATCTCCAAGTATTTTGGCATTTTCTAGCTATCTTTCTGTTACTGATTTCTAATTTAATTTCATTGTTATTTAAGAGCAAATATTGAAGGATTTCTATTCTCATTTTTCTTTTTGAGACAGAGTCTCACTCTGTCACCCAGGCTGGGGAAGTGGCATGATCTCAGCTCACTGCAACCTCCACCGCCTGGATTCAAGTGATTCTCCTGCCTCAGCCTCCCAAGTAGCTGGAACTACAGGCACACGCCACCACACCTGGCTAATTTTTGTATTTTTAGTAAAGACAGAGTTTCAGCATGTTGGCCAGTCTGGTCTTGAACTCCTGACCTCAAGTGGTCCAAGGATTTCTATTCTTTTAAACGTCCTATGGTATGTTTTATGACCTAGAATGCAGTCTATCTTGATTAACACTCCATGTGGACTTAAGAAGAATAAGTAATCTGCTGTTGTTTCCTCACCTTTTTCAACAAACATTTGAACCCCATAGTCTCTGCTTTAATAATTCTAGTACCCATTCCAACCTACACCATCATCAGTTCTAGACTGTACCTCTACACTAAATGGTGTTAGATGGTTCCACTTTAAGTCTTAGCTGTTTTCATCGTTTCACTGGTTCCCTTGCTAGCATCAGGGAAACTACCTACCAGCCAGACAGTTCTCTCCAGCAGCACCCACCAACCACACCCTGCTCCCCTGTCCTTACCCTCACTAAACCTGGTAGCAGAGAGAGGAGCTGTGAGGTAGTTGCCTTTTAGATAAATGAGGCGCTACTGCACGTGCACTGTGGTCTTCTTTGCAGTAGAAAAATGTCCAAGGAAGGTCAGCATCATTGACAGAAGATAAATGCAAGGCTACGTCTCACCGGCTCATCCATGAGCAATTCCTTCAGCTCCAGCAGGCTCTTCACAATTTGCTTTTAACCAAAATCCAGCTCTACCCTCCCTGAAGCATGCACCTAGGGCCCCAGTCAGGGGGGAAAAAAAAAAAAAAAAAAAAAAAAAAAAAAAAAACCTAAACCAGACAGAGGATAATTAAGGAGGCAAAAAGCTTAAACCATAATATTTTAATTAAACTGCTTTTTTTAGCCATAGCACTCCTGCTTTATTTCATTCATACATCAGTAGTGGAAAAGAGTAGCCGTGTTTCATTATGAAAAAAGATAATTCATTGTATGTGTCCTTCCTAATGAAATGGCACTATATTAAGGCCCAAAATGTTTACTATGGCCCAGTAAAATATGGGGTTGTTCTGTGAGCTATTTCTTAAGACAGAAAATTATGCCAGAAAGCTACTAGATCAAAAGTCTATGGCAGTGCCAAAGTTTCAATAGTCTCTGTAATCTTGAATCTATGCAATTGAAAATAATACTGCATCTAGTTTGGCGGTCACACATTTGTGGACATTCATGTTTCGATTTACCTGGAAGTTCTTATTCTTGCCATCACACAGAATTTTCAGGAACTAGTTAAGCAAAGAAAGCAAAGGCCAGCAGCTCTCAGAACTGGGTCCCCAAGCTGAGGGTCAGCAGGGTGCATGTGGTGTGCCAACTCCAATGTCCACGCCTAGGGAAAGCACATCTTCCCAAAAGAAATGAAGCACAGATAATACTTGATCCTCAACTTTATCCCCAGAAATTTTTTTTAGGAACTTGAGTTTTGTATCAAATGCTCACATCCTACAGTGAAATCAAGTGCTTCGTTTTCAAGGTGCAGGAAGTTAGTCAATGCTGGGAGCAGGCACATACTTGTAATTTTATTCTCAGGGATCCCAGCAGCCAGCTAAAACTAGACAAGGACAAAACTCCACTCAAAGTATTCTGAAAGTCAGCTGATGCCCCATATTTTATTATTCCAAATGTGCATTCACTTGCCTGAGTGCTAGCCATGAGCACCCAGTGAACACTTACGGTACAGCGAGTGAGGTCCTAGACAAGTTACTATGAAGACTCTGAGAAAAAGAATCCCCCACTGTCCTCAACAAGCCTGCAGTCCCATGGCTGCCAGCTCCTACCATGTAACAACACTGTACCAAGTACACTGAACCACACAAAAACCCTGTGAGCAAATACTGCTTCCCACTTTACACGTGAAGTAACTGAGTCTAGTTTTAGGAATACCTAAACAGAAAGGGACAGGTACAACGAATCTTCTGGCATTTAAAGAAAGTAGATCAGCTTCTGCATAAGCAGTAAGACATGGTATCACGAGGAAGAAAGAAACATTTGTCCTGACATTTCTCAAAGACTGCACAGGTTTTGGAAGACAGGGATTCAAGGGCATTGTGAGTACAATGGTTCGTGCCTGTAATTCCAGCACTTTGGGAGGCCAAGGCAGGAGGATTGCTTGAGCCCAGGAATTCAAGACCAGCCTGGGCAACACAGCAAGACCCCGTCTCTATTTTAATAAGAGAGTGAGAAAGAGAAATCCAAAAGCAAAGGCATTTCAGTTTGCAAGGGCAGCATGGGAGAGGGTCTGAAGACAGAAACATGCAAGGTAAGATTGGGGGATGGTACCTAGCCTGGCTAGGATCATAGGATTTCAAAAAATATGTGTTTGGAAAACTGGTGCTAATTTGTAGGGACTTAGAATTTCAGGCTAAGGAGAAGGACCAAAAAAGGAATAATATGAGCAGTATTATTGATAAACCCATCATTGCACTTAAAAAGCTCTTCAGTCTTTAGGATTGAATTTTTAAAAATAATTTTCACTTGGCAAAACCAAAAGGTCATTACACAACCATCAAGCACTTTGAAATGATTCCATTAAAAAAAAAAAAAAAAAACAGACTAAATCCCTAGTGGAATTTCAATAGCATGTAGTAGTAAACTATGTGTCCAGCAAAATCATAAAACAAGAGTTTATTATAGGAGATATTCCTTGAGATATTAAGAAATATAATGTACAAAATAATTAAAATTTTCACCGAGCAAAACCAATGATCCTTTAGAGATGAACAGAAGGAAAATAAGAAATGTTTCTTTCCAAAGTTGCTACCAAGGCTTCTGAGATTTCTGCAGGATAACGTTACTAAGATTTGCTTCTGAGGTCAACCTTGCCATCCTTTCCAACAAGCTTTTTAGGAAGGAACACCGGCTAGGGCTCAAGTACTGGTTTGGCTCCTGTCCCATTTTTCGGTCCTTCTGTAACTCCCTTTACTCAACTCCAAGTACGTCTGTGCACGGACAATGAGACGAAAGCATGCTCAATGCGAAAGCACAAATTATGTATTGAGAAATCACTACAATGCCAAATTTTTTTAGAATAACGAAATATATATATATATATATATATATCTTTAAGAACTTGCTGTGTTAGGGAAACTGTTTACATATTGAGGTGTTCCTCTTTTTTGACTGGAACAATAAAATAAAAATTTGATATGGCCTTGGTTTCTTCTGTGTGTGTGCCTGTGTCCAAAGAAGTCGGCCTTTTCTGCAAGTGAGAGCATGAATTGTTTCAAAGCACGACACCCTGCCCCACGGCCACTCAAGATAATCAGGCATCTCAGGCAAAACCCAAGGACAGTACCATGGGTTTGGAGTGATGGTCTCTCTTCCTCCCTCCCACTCTTCCTCTCTCTCCATCTTTCTCTCCCTAACTCGCTCACTTCCTCTCCCTCTCCTTTCTCTTTCCCCATCTCTCCCCCCGACGTTCTGCCTATGGCCAGATCCCAGCAATGGGTCAGCTCCGCTCCTACCCACACCTGCTGACCCAAGTGGGACCCCTCTGACACCTGTTGCACCTCATGGAACATGAACAAAATGAAAGGGACCTAGGGACTTGCAGCGCAGTTGATCCTGCCCCTTGTCACAGCTCTAACAATCTTAATGAAAGGAGTTGGACTGTTCATGACAAAGTCCCATGTTGGAATAAAGAAACCTTCTGTGAGAGTTTTTCATGCTCTCAGGGTTCCGTTTTGCATGGGTCGGCTTTGCCCAGCTCCAGTGCCTCGGCTCTGCTCTAACTCCTCCCCGCCAGGGAATCTAGGGCAATGGCTTAGCCAGCCGCCCCTCTCTACCGAAGCTTGCAGGAAGCCAAGCTTTAAAAGGACCCGTGAGCTGCCTCACACTGGAACATGTACAGAAGTCATTTTAAAATGTGCCGAGGATAAATTCTTTCCCAGAGGTTAGTGCTTGGTGAAACAAACCCTGGGACATGGTCTGCATTTCATCCTGCTTTTCCTAATGTGCTCCTCCCATACTGCTGCTGTGCCTGGTGGAATTACTACCCTGTCCTCTGTGTCCCCCAGCCCCTGTGTGTCTGTCCCACTTGGCACCCATTGAGCCCCACACAAGCCTGTGGAGATGCATCCAGGGAAGGGCTCCATTCCCGCTTCTCTCTAGGCCCTGGGGCCACCTTCCACATTACCCCCAAGGGATTGTCTAAAGTAACTCCCTGGTCAAAACTATACTGGCACTTCTTTGTCTATTCTGGTGGTTTTCAAACTAACCTGCAGAAACGGTGCTCTGAAGGAAAGCTTAAGAAGAAGCTCAATATTTAAGGCAGACAAGGTGGAGAGCTTGGTTACGGCAGGGGTGGAGGCTCAGAGCCCTGCCCCTCAAACGCAACTGCCCCAAGACCCCTGCCATTAGAGCACAGGTTGATTAATGCTCACTGCTGTGCAGCATTCAGTCCAAAGACCTCAGCTGAGTCTCTCAGCATCAGCAGGCTGTGGGCCCTGGACCCCTTTGCAGACCAAAACTCTCCCCTTCTAGCCCACCTTATCAAATGTCCACATTCCCTAGACAGGGAACACCCTCTCAGGCCACCTTGGCTTTGACCATATTGTTCCTTTCTTTCCAGAATGTGAATCCAGAGCCATCCAGGAAACTCAGACATCCTTCCCTAACTCCCCCGGGGAGCCAGTAGGTTTCCAAGTATGGGTCTTCAGAGCTTGAAATTGGTGATTGTGGGACTATTTATGCCATAGAAATTGGCAAATACTACCAATTACAGCTTCTATTTTCCCAGAGACCCTGTTGCTAAACATTTACAGAGATGCAAACCAGAGATGATTCTGAAAGATGGTGGAGACATAACTTCAAGGGTTCTCTCATTGTCCACGTTGCCTAGAGGGAGAAATAGCTAGACCAGAGCATAGGCAGTGGCTATTGGTTTGACTGGGCAGCCAGGGTCTTGGAAGAAGCACAGTTTTGGATGATTGGTATCAATAAATTCGTAACAAAGACCCTTAAGAATGAGCACAGGGTGTGCGGACACCTATGGTCCATGCAAATGCTCACCAGTAAGTCTTTATTGTGGAGAAGGGTCCTGATCATTTAGAAGAAGGCCCTATTACCTATGACTGTCAATCACCAACCTTCCCAACCATCACTGCGCTTACTTGGGAACCCAGCAGCAAAGGAACCATGATTTCAGAATGGATCCCATTCACAAGCTCAACAACACCGACAGCCCCTTCTCCAAGGCTGACTCAGCTGTTACATCATGGAGTATTTAATTTTCCAATGCAGTAACCACGTGTGAACACTCAATTCTAGACCAATGTGGCAGCTACCTGGCAACCAGTTGTTTAATTGGGACTCCATCACCCCAGCAACACAGTCTCACTGGAAGAGACTCTTCCTCTGATTTGGACTTGCTCTTTCCAACACCCTCACTTATACCAGCACCATCACACATAGGCCTACTGGTCACCTTCCTTACTGCTGCAGTATCAGACATGACACTGCTTCTGAACAAGGATTCACTTGATCACATTATTGGTATCACTCCAGCAGGAGAAATAAGGCAATGACCAGGATCCTATGGGATTCACAAGCAAGTCAGCTTTTCCTTGGCATGTCATGATTTTTGTCTTCCTCTTGGGAGCACTTCCAGCACCACCTGTGGAACTTCATACAAGTCCCATGATGTTACTCAGGTGTGTGATATTGTACTAGACATGACATAAAATACACAAGAAACTTGAGAGATCACTTTTTCCTGTGATGCACAATTTCTTGGAGAAATGAACTGTTCACACAGAAAGGATGAGCATCGCATGGCATTTTAAGTGGATACTCACAACACCTGGGCTCACCACCATAGCAACAGGAGGTGGCTTTGAATTCGTGCAGTGGAACAGCATGTATGCAGTTATGATTCAATAGTGCACATTCATGGTTGCTCACATTTGTCTCACCCGAATGACTCCCTATATGATCTGTAAGTGTTTGTGTGCATAAGCTTTGATACATTTTAACCTTTCATAATAGATATGTGTATATTTTATGGAAGTAAAGGAGAAAATAAACTAATATTTGCATCTATTTTATGCATTCATGACATACCTAACTTCTCCTTAATTTTCAATATTTCTACACTATGCTGTTCATCTGCAAGTTTTTTCAAATTGTTACAAATCTCCAAAAAATTTTTCAATATATTAATATGGAAAAACATATGTGTATAAGTGGATACATGCAGTTCAAACCCATGTTGTTCAAGTGTCAATTGTATTTATGACACAACAGTCATGAGGCAAGTGTGACCAGGACAGTGACAGGGAGAGGACCCGATAGATGGGACCCTCCAAGCCACTGCAAGAACTTGGGCTTTTATTTTGAACCAGAAAGTGGACCCCATTGAAGTATTTGTGTGCAGAGGAGAGACATGAACAGAAGGGAGGACTGGAAGAAACAAGAAGAAATTAGTTCAAGAAACAGGGTTTGGACTCAGGAGATGGTGGACATTCTTGATATCCGTGGAAGGCAGAGAGAGCCAGCTGGATTGGGTGAGAGAGGGGAGATGAAAAGGTATCAGGGTCACCACCTGTGGGGGTCTGTCCTGCAGACCCTGACTCAACAACAGATGAATAAAGTACACTGACATACAGATATTATGCTTTGCCAGTTTGACTGAGTGTCTGAGCTGCTTACAGACTCCCTGGAGAGTGCTGTTGTGACCTCTGGCTCTCACCAGCCAGAGAGACTTACATTTATTCAGTGAAGTTTAATAAAAGAGGCTCTAAGTAAACACACTTGTGGAGAAATATTAAAGTCCAGGTTCCAAGCCTAAAGCAAACACCATTAGAGGGTAATCTCCTAGGTTGACCTCCCCCCAAGAGGGCCATCTGGCTCAAAGTTTAGTTTTAAGACCACATGAGTAAACAAGTTATTCAGATAAACTCCTCCCCATACTCTAGCTATTTGCTTTTCTTATTAACTAAATGTAAAGGGGATTTAGGTTGCCTTCAGCCAAAACTTCTACTGAAACTATGCAAAAACTTCTCAGCTTTCCAAGAAGGTTTGTGATTATTCCTTAAAGCTATCTCTAATACTTTTCCTTTAATATTTTTGCTACCACCCTGAGTGAATCCCCACAAAAAGGGATGTCAGAGACAATGCCCAGGTGTTCAGAATGGTGTTTCCATTTGCTGGGGAAGCAGCAGGTTTGCCAAGGAACTACCAAACTTCCACACAAGATTCTGCAGCCCTCAAGCAGGCAAGGCTTGAGTGTTCACTTGGAATCAGTATTTGACCAGCTCAGGAAGCTGGACGTGAAGGGAGGTTCAGGAGCAAGCCACATAGCCTCTGGAGTGACCAAGGGGTGAGGAGCTACCCCAGGAACCTCACTAAGATGCCCACAGCTTTATCATCCCTGCTGGGTACATTGTCCCCTTAATACTGACCACAGCTGTCCTCACACAGGAGCCATGAATGAATACGGGGAATGGGCCAACTTCTCACAGTCTGAAAAATGTGCCCATGCAGGCATGCAATCAGACAGAATCAAATCTCCATCAGTCACAGAAATAATGATGAACTTCCCAGCTCATCCCACTGTTGCTGGAGAGTTGGTGATAACATTGCAATGCCCACATTCAGAACAAGAAAGAAACAGAAGGAAGTTTCAAATTAGTTCCCCATAAGCAGCTTTGATTAAACTATTGATATGGTTTGGCTGTGTCCCCAACCAAATCTCATCTTGAAACATGGCTCCCATAATCCCCACATGTCATGGGAGGGACCCAGTGGGAGATAATTGAATCATGGGAGCAGTTTTTCCCTGCTGTTCTCATGATAGTGAATAAGTTTCATGAGATCTGATGGTTTTATAAAGGGCAGTTCCCCAGCACACACTCTCTTGCCTGCTGCTATGTAAGATAAGACTTTGCTCCTCCTTCACCTTCCACCATGATTGTGAGGCCTCCCCAGTCACGTGGAACTGTGAGTCCATTAGACCACAAAGAGATACTATCACCCGCTAATTACAATGGTGATCATTAGAGAGTCAGGAAACAAGAGATGCCGGAGAGGATGTGGAGAAATAGGAACGCTTTTACACTGTTGGTGGGAGTGTAAATTAGTTCAACCATTGTGGAAGACAGTGTGGCAATTCCTCAAGGATCTAGAACCAGAAATAGCATTTGACTCAGCAATCACGTTACTGGGTATATATCCAAAGGATTATAACTCATATACTATAAAGACACATGCAAACGTACATTTATTGTGGCACTATTCACAATAGTAAATACATGGAACCAACCCAAATGCCGATCAATGATAGAGACTGGATAAAGAAAATGTGGCATATATACACCATGGAATAATATGCAGCCATAAAAAAGGATAAATTTATGTCCTTTGCAGGGACATGGATGAAGCTGGAAACCATTGTTCTCAGCAAACTAACACAAGAACAGAAAACCAAACACTGCATGTTCTCACTTATAAGTGGGAGTTGAACAATGAGAACACATGGACCCAGGGAGGGAAACATCACACACTGGGGTCTGTTGGGGGATGGGGAGCTAGGGGAGGGATAGCATTAGGAGAAATACCTAATGCAGATGACAGGTTGATGGATGCAGCAAACCACCATGGCACATGTATACCTATGTAACACACCTGCATGTTCTGCACATGTACCCCCGAACTTCAAAAATAATAATAAAAATTACCCAGTCTCAGGCCGGGCACAGTGGCTCACGCCTATAATCCCAGCACTTTGGGAGGCCGAGGCGGGTGGATCACGAGGTCAAGCGATCAAGACCATCCTGGTCAACAAGGTGAAACCCCGTCTCTGCTAAAAATACAAAAATTAGCTGGGCATAGTGGTGCACGCCTGTAGTCCCAGCTACTCAGGAGGCTGAGGCAGGAGAATTGCTTGAACCCAGAAGGAGGAGGTTGCGGTGAGCCAAGATCGTGCCATTGCACTCCAGTCTGGGTAACAACAGCGAAACTCTGTCTCAAAAAAAAAAAAAAAAATTACCCAGTCTCAGGTATATCTTCATTAGCAGCATGAGAGTGGAGTAATACAACTACTTAATCAGTAGTTACTGATTCAAATTTACATTGTTTATCCACTTCCTTTTATTTCTCTTTTATTAAAGATATCTGAGGTTTCATTCTATAAACTTGCAGTGCCCTTCTTAGCCCAGGACCAAACCCACACAGCCCCAGAATAAGATGAGTCTCCTCCCAAGGAAAAGTCCTGGGGGCTGTTTCTCACACTACAAGGCACAGGCTGCTGGGGAGAGGAGGCACCACGTTGTGGGGGATCTTTAGCCATTTCTTCTTGCCCAGAAACAAAATATCGGCTTCAATGAGTCAATGAGTCAGGGGGGCTCAGACCTACTCCCAATGATCACAAAGACAGGCAAAAAGATCAGGTTTTAGTCCCTAAACATGGCTCCCTGCTCCTTGAGGGAGAGGGGTCTCAACGAGTGCTACCCCAAAGCCCATTTGGATTCAGGAGGAGCTCACATCACAACCCAGCTATGACACCTTGATGGCCATAGTGCTTCCCCTGCTAAGCCTCCCCAGAGGAGCCTCCAGAGAGGTACCAGCAGGGCGAGGCTCTTGGTCAGGGAGCCACCGTCTGGGTTGCCATCCCCACTCCGATTGACCCATGGAAGCCTGCCTGCCTCTCCCAGGAAAGTGTAGGGATTTCTTGGGACGTGCCACTATCCCGTCAGTCGCTGAGGCCCCAGGTGCCTGTTTGCTCCTGCTGTCTCAGAGGGGCCTGTAGACACGTGATCGGATGCATTTGCTAAGTCAGGAGATGAACATCAAGCCACCCAGTGGGCAGAAGGCGAGTTGCCCTTACTGAGTCCCCTCTCACACCCGGAGGCAGTGAGGCGGGGGCCTCCACCAGGCTGCACAGGGAGCAGGAGCCCTCGGTGGGCCCTGCCAGATGCCCCTCTCTGTCTCTGCCTGGGAGAGCCACTGAAATCCTCATCCCCCAGGTTATTGGGCGGCTCATCTTAGAGCCTAGTCTGCATCCCAGCTGGGGGATGAGGCACATCTTGGCTGAATGCTCCAGTCCTGTGTTACTCCATAGGCAGCCTCCCCACACTTCAAGACTTCAAATCATCCTTTATTTTGTCATGATTTTGCAGGTCAGGCATCAGGAGGACAGATGCAGAGGGTGCATCTCCGACCCAAGCGCCAACCACGGGGTGCCTCAGCCTCCTTGTCTCGCTCTGTCTCCATAGCCCCCAAGCTCCACAAGATGTGGGCTCTTCCCAGCCAGGAAGTCTCCAGGTGCCCCTCCTGGAGTCTCCAGCTTCCAAGGGGCTAGAAGCCCGAAGCAGCTCAGTTTATGTCTGTCAACAAAAAGAGCCGAACTCTGTAAAATATCTGAAGGGGGCCAAGCCAGATGGCTCACACCTGTAATCCCAGCACTTTAGGAGGCCGAAGTGGTCAGGCTTTCGAGACCAGCCTAGCCAATATGGTGAAACCCCATCTCTACTATAGATACAAAAAATTAGCCGGGCGTGGTAGCACACGCCCATAATCCCAGCTACTTGGGAAACTGAGGCAGGAGAATTGCTTGAACCTGGGAGGCACTGGTTGCAGTGAGCAGAGCTCACACCGTTGCACTCCAGCCTTTGTAACAGGGCGAGACTCAGTCTCAAAAAAAAATAAAAGAAAAAATTGAAGGGATTTATTCTAAGCCAAATAGGAGTGATAAATGGGCCCGTAATGCAGCCCCAGGAGATCCTGAGAACGTGCGCCCAAAGTGTTCAGGGCACAGCCTAGTTTTATACACTTTAAGGAGACATGAGACATCAATCAAAACACATGTGGGATGGACACTGGTTTGGTCCAGAAATGCGGGACAACTGGAAGTGGGGAGGGGGCTTCCAGGTTATAGGTAGATTTAAATTTTTTCTGATTGGCAATTGGTTGAAGGAGTTAAGTTATTATCTAAAGACCTGGCCTCAATAGAAAGGAGCGTCTGGGTTATGATAAGGAGTTTTGGAGACCAAAGTTTTCTCACGCAGATGAAGCCACCATGTAGCAGGCTTCAGAGGGAAGAGACTGTATGTGTT